GATTGTATTCATATGCAGATTGCACATTACGGTGATTGTATTCATATGCAGATTGCACATCACTGTGATGCCCATGTGGTACAATATATATATCAAACGGCTATCATGTTGTGTATAATAAAAAAATTGTGGTTTCTGTGGTGGAGATGTCATATCTCAAGTCTAGAACTTGGGCGGCATGAACAACAAAACAAAATACATGGAACTCCATGTATAGCTATAATAATGAATATGTCATACGATTTATGAACTTGCACAAAAAAGTATGAATAGATTCCTACCATACGTAAATAACGTGCATTATTTGTTTTCAGAGTGAGTATATAGCAGAGTGTCACAAACGACGTGCATGGATAACGGGGTTCACAGGATCAGCAGGTGCGTATCACTATGCATTTATATTAGAGTTTATGTAAGCGAGGAATAAGCTTCCTCTCCATCCGTGTATTAGCAGGGATATCTTCGTGACAATACACTGAGTTTTCACTGTTAGACTTGGTGGACAATAAAGAGTATTGTGGGGGAAAACTGCCACAAACAGTATAGGATCTTTAAATCTCACCAGATAGACTGTACATACATCAAGCAGTAGACGGTATACCAGTGTGCAATGTTCTAATGGTGAACACGCTTTTATTCAGTTGTACAGCAACGAGATAGAGCTAGTTCAAAAACTACATACGCTAGGACGATTTGGAACAATGCATCACTTGGAGTACAAAGGATGAAGTCTGTCTTAATTAACACTCTTTGTCAATTTAAAGACAAGGGTGGATTCACACCTTAGAATTTTAATCCTTGGCGTCAATTAATATGATTGGTTGTTTTAATTGAGCCAATCAGGGAGAACACACTTATATAAACTGATAGAAATGACTGAATACAGTTCAAAGTGTGTTGCTTTGCGTCACGAAAACGGCATAAATCTATAGAAACTCTGGCTACAACTACTCAATTTTGATAACATAACTGGAGATAATAAACACTGATAGTTACATACAACATTGAAGTAAATCTGATAAAAAGAAGCGAAGTTATGGTTAAATAGCATGAAAAATATATGTATCCACATGGTTATAACGATAAGTATGAACCAATTACAATGCACCCACTATACTCTATTTTATATCCACAACTGCTACGTTACCATCAGCACGTAATACTAGCATACCATGGTTGATATACAAACCATTGGTTTATTTGTATATTTGTATGTAAAGCAATGAGTTGCCATTTCAAATTACAGGTCTTGCCATTGTTACTGAAACCAAAGCTGCCTTATGGACTGACGGCAGATACAGTCTACAAGTTGAGCAACAATTGGATTGCAACTGGGACGTTATGCAGACAAGTAAATTCACTTATTAGTTGTAGTTTTAGAGTAAAATGACAGTAAACTATATATTTCATAAATAAGAATTGCATGTAAACACTTTTTTGTTTCTTTTCACAGGTAATGCGGACACTCCTTCTCAGTGGGACTGGTTGATTGGAAAGTTGACAGGTGGTACTGCGACCGTTCCTCACAAAGTTGGTTTTGACCCAACATTGTTGTCAATCAGTAAGCATTTACTAGATACTGGCACTAATTTGGAAACAAAGGTTTATTTTAGTTCACACACCAGTATAACAACATAGTTTATTCTGGTTTATGCAAGGTGTAACTACAATACGACGGTATTCCGGATTCCATGTTTAACAAAACAATATATATAATTGTTGAACAAATTTCGATATTAATCATTCCACATTAAGGACACATTTTTGTTTGGCGAAATTTGACTCATAGCTAGCTCTTGTATTTTACATGGGTTTCATATGAACATCAAGTAGAGTCAGTCTACCGTACTTAATGTTATGTCAAGCTTTACATGCAATAATTCAGATCATGCCAAATACATGGTAATCGTCAACTATATGCAAAACATACATACAGCTGTTAATATTACACAAATTGTTTGCAGTATTTTTAAATCTAATTGCAGTTAGCTTTCTTAATGTCAGATATGATACTATATTTATAATTCATATCCAGGTGCTTATAATAAGTATGCAGAGGCATTCATAGATGCACAGCCAGACACCTATATTGAGATGCATTCAATACCTGACGATAACCTCATTGATGGGATTTGGGCTGACAGACCAACATGTACTAATGAAAAACTCTCCATTTTAGCAATTGAATGGACGGGTGAGTGTGTAATGTATATAGAGAATCAGATTATACCAACATCATTATACATTGTTGTCATTAGACTAATCTCCGCGTATAGAGTAGAATAACCGTCCTGCACTGCGGATTATGGTTTTCAGACCCCGCAATAGCAAATATTGTGATAAATATATATCTTTTAAAATTTGGCAAAGCAAATAGCATCTTTAGGCATTACATTATGTAATTAATTATTCATGACATTCGCGTCGAACAACTAAATGACTAAAACAGAAATAAATAGCGTCACACGTTAGTAACTACCGTGGTGTTGAAATATTCTAGCACGGATTTGCGCAAGGAATAAACTTGATGGTGATTACTGTAATAGTTGTGGTTGACAATGTTATTATCGTCTATTCGCTCATATAATCTAGTTCACACACTTTGTCGTTTTACATATGAATACGTCAATTCTATTCTAATATTCGTAATTACACACACAAACGCTATTTGGTTGTATACTAGAAAAAAAAACTAAATAATGGACTTCATGTTATATAGAAAGTTTTGATAAAAGGTGAACTCAATTCTCCAATAACGAGTAATCGAAACCCTATAATCGACAGCCGTCTGAAGTCAATGCGAAGCTACTTACAAGTGTACCTGATTGGCTACATAGCCCTAAGAGTAAAAGATTAGACCAATCATAGAGCAGCTTATTTATTGCCAGGTTTTTTCGACGCATCAAATTGTGCCCTTTATCACAGGGAGTTGGGGATATTTGTTTTTTCTTTCTATTCTCTCAAACTCTTATCACAGAGTTCATAACAAGTTTCAAGTATAACCGTTGATATTGTACTGTTTACTACTATAAAAGTCTTGAACTATGCTATATATTGTATATCCTATTTGGAGAGAGTATATACAAGTATCCAATGTCATAAGTGAGCATACATCCATATTTACAGCATTTCTGTGTACAGATAACTAACAAGGAATAATACAAAAAATGTTAAATTATTGATGTACTAGTTCACGATGCTTAAGTCAAAATATAACTTTCTTAATAAGACAGCTTTAATTGATATTATTATACTTTTTCCAATTCCAAGGTCAAGAGTGGTGGGAGAAGTTAAAAATGCTTCAAGATGACTATATGACTGATACTGTTGTGGACATGATGGTTCTGCACGCCTTAGATGACACTGCATGTAAG